TATCCTGTGTAAATTTTCTAGAAATCTTTTAATTTTTGTTATTAAAAAGAAAGTTGGGTCGGGGAGGGGAAGAAAAAAGAGAACAGGGAGAGAGGGGTTTTTTTTGTTTGTTTTTCTTTATTGATTGCTTTGTTTATAGTACAGTTGTCATTCTTAGTTCTAGTTATTTCACTATATATAACTAGTGAAATAATATATAACTAGTGAAATAACTAGACATATGTATACATAAATATATATATACATAAATATATATATGTATATCTACTATATGGTCATAGGTTTAATTTTATTCAGGTCTTAAGAGTCTCTTAGCTAAAGTGTTTATAACAAACTGATAATTAATTTAGCTTCAGGCATGAATACTGAAGAAAAATAGATACCAATTAAGTTTCTTTAAACTTTTTAAATTTTATTTTCAATCACAGTTCACATTCAATGTTATATTAGTTTCAGTTTTTACTCCAATGTAAAAATAATGTTGTACACTTGAAATGAATATAATATATGCCAGCTATCATTTAAATTTTTTTTAAAAGATGTGAAAAGGAGATGGGCTTTTGTTTGCATTTTTAAATAGCAGGGTCAGATGACATTTGAACAAAACTGTGAAGGATTAGAGAGTGAACTACAAGGATTTCTGGAGGAAAATACACGAAGAGGAAGCATAGTGTGTAAATGCCCATGCAGAAAGAACTATGTCTGGCTTTGGCAAGGCCAATTCAGAGGCCAGAAATAATAACAATAGGAATAAAGTAGCTAACTTCTATTGAAAAACACACACACACACACACAACTAAGTCATAAAAACATTGCCAATTTGACAATTAGGGTTGAAAAAGGAAGAACAGACCATGGCATCAAAATGAAGAATGGAATGCTGCCCCTATCCACTGTGGCCTACTTTCCACTTTGTATAAAAGAAAAGAATTTGAAGCCACACCCGTTTAATTTTTTGTGTTTTGTGGCATTTTAATTTCTTCTAATTCTTATGTTTTACTTTTTCTACAAGAAGCACTCAAGCAAACTCAGACTTCAGCTGTCTGCATCTAAAACCTATTCGGTGATGATGTTTTGTTTAGTTATACACTTGAACCCTGCATGGTTTTGTTAACCAATGTTACCCCAATTAACTCGACAACAGCAAAACTAGAATCAAATGTTGAGTTTTTAAATTTGGCATCAAATTCTATAGTATAAATTTAGTTATTTTGAGGTTATTAATTGAATTGATATTACAGTCCTGGAAATTTTTTTTTCAGTTCTGGAAAAATTATGTCATATAAAAATCTCCTCTAAAGTGTTTCAGTATTCTTTTTCTTTCTAAAAGATATTACTTTATATTTTCAATAAATAAATAAATAATAAAACCTATTTGGAATGAAAAGGCCATCTTGAAGTTACCATGGCTGGCTTTTCTTCAGTTATTACTTTCACCCATTTAATGGAATAATCTGGGGAGATACATAAGAAAAGTGTTTTATCCTCCTCATTTCTGAGTCCCGAGTTTCAGATTTGGCAATCTGCACAAAAATGAAAGAATTCTATCATCTTCTTTTTGATAGTGAATGCCGTTTGTATCATATTTTAATATAATTATGCTCCATGGCTGCCCTCTAAACTTCTGGTTATGCAATCACAACCTGTATGTGACATATTAGGCAGGAGAGGAAGAGAGACTAGTCAAGTCCTTCACATATGTTAAAAATGAACATGCGGCAAACTAGGTAATATTGATAAGGTTCTGTTTATCTTCAATATTTTTCAATTGCTTTTCTATAGCATGGAGGGA